GACAAGAAGGTGTTAGGATACTTAACATGGGGAAATAGATTCAATTTGTGTAATGACCCAGCCACTCCCAGTCTTCTATTCAAGTCCAAGTTAATGGTATCTAGTTTGCAAATTAATTCCAGTTCAGCAGTTTCTCATCGGAGTCTGTTTTTTGAAGTCTTTTCTGTTGCAAAATTGCCACCTTTAAGTCTGTTACTGAGTGAACAGGGAGGTTGAAGTGTTCTCCTACTGGTTTTTGAATGTTATGATTCCTGATGTCAGATTTGTGTCCATTAATTCTTTTGCGTAGAGACTGTCCGGTTTGGCCAGTGTACATGGCAGAGGGGCATTGCTGGCTCATGATGGCATAAATCACATTGGTAGATGTGCAGGTGAACGAGCCCCTGATGGCGTGGCTGATGTAATTTGGGCAATGGCGCTGTCCTGTAATGAATCATCACAGTATCCTGTGAACAAAGCCTCATCCCCATTTACAGAAGGCATTCTAGCCAGAGCGCCTGCTGAGACACAGAGAGAGGAACTGACAGAGAGTCACTGGCAGAACTGGGGTTTGAATCTAGGAGTTTCTGGCTTCCTGTGCTTTGCCCACCGGCCCAGGCTATCAGCTGGTGGAGATTTGTTAAGTGCCTTCTGTTGTTCCTGTCGTCCTCTTTGCAGACTGCGATTGCAACGCCGCCGGGACGGAAGGGAATGCCTGCCGCAAAGACTCGCAAAGGGGAATGTGTGTGTGCAAACCCAACTTCCAGGGAGCTCAGTGCGATCAATGTGCGCCTGGGCACTACGGACCCGGCTGCCAGCGTGAGTGATCGGGGCCTATCACGCCGGTTTTCTTGATGTTCTTGCAAACGCCTCTGGCGGCTGTTCTGAACTGCGCTGCTAGAAGCACGCGCCCCTCTCCCTGCTGGGAAAGGAGAATTCCTCCGTCCTGCTTCAAGTAACACATTCCCATGACTTTTGCTGAGATTTGCTGGAACAGCTCTGACCCAGCTGGATTCCCTTGGCCTTGCTGGGGAACTCTGCAGGAATTCCCCATCAGTTCAACAGTGGGCCCAGACGCTCCGGCAGTACAGTGCGTTACGACCATTCCCACATGGTTTCTTCAACTGCTGTATGGATGAGGGGTCACTTTGGGTTACATTCCTCCCTCATCCTCCCCCGTTCAAATGTCAGTTTATTTGATATCTTCTTCTCCTGCCTCCTGAGAGGCATTGGGGTTTAACACTGTTAGCAAAGGCCTGTGGAGTCGACACCTAGTGAGCTCCCAGGACTGAAATCCTGGTGGGGAGCGGAGCCTTTAGTTGTAATTCTCGCACAGATGAGACTTTTATTATTCCGGCCCCATCTTCGGAGATGAGTCGAATGCAGCCCCAAGGGCAGCCCTGCTCGTCCGGCAGGCCGGTATCCAGGACTTGGGTTCAGCCTGCACAGGGCTCCCTCATCTCTGTCTGAGCCTCTGAGAAAGCACCTTGATCTCTCCCCTCCCCTGTAACTCGGGAGCCTTTTCTTTCCATCCTCTGACCACCTATTGCCAGCCTCTTCCAGCTCCATGGGGGTCCTTCCACATGCTCCCCCATCCCTGACCTTTCTGCTTCCGCCCAGGCTGATGGGCTGTTAATGAGGAGGCAGGACGCCTGAGGGAGCACAGGCAGGCTGGGGAGCAAAAGTAGCTAAAGGCCTGGGCTTCCTTTCACTGCAGTGAGGAGACGCTTCTTGCTGATTCATAAAGGGGCCGAGAGCTTTAAGCCCAAGGACGGTGAATCTGGGGGCTTATTGCAGTGCCGTGCCCACCAGCCATCCTGCAGAACTCCTCCTCGGCCTTCGGGGAACAGACAGGCGTTTCAGCTACAGATTCTAATAAAACAGAGCTTTGGCTCCATGGCTTCACTGCCCTCCCTTGAAACACCCCCCCCCCCAATCCCTGACCTCTGCCCCCCACCCAGCAAAGTGCCCAGAATACAAACATCCCCCTGCACCCCTCAAAATCTGCATTTGTCTCATGAAATCTCGGCTTGCTAACCCAAAGCGTTTGAATCTGAGTAGCCTCTAATAAGAGGCCTGGTGCTGTGTTGGGATTAGCCAGGGCTGTGAAACCGCAAAGGTGCCTCCTGATTCCCCCAGTGCCTCAGGACTAGCAGTTCACGGGGGGCCCATTGTTCTTTTCCAGCATGCCAGTGTTCAGGCTCTGGCCAGTACGATGGCACCTGTGACAGCGAGACCGGCCAATGCCTGTGCCGAACTGGATTCGAAGGGTATTCGTGTAACCAGTGTGCACCCGGCTACTTCAGCTACCCTCTCTGCCAATGTGCGTAACTCCTCTTCCTTCTCAGATGTGTGTGTGTGTGGGTTGGGGGTGGGGGTGGGATTCCCTGCTGAGGAGAGAGGGGGATGTTTACCCTCTGGACTTAGTATTACTTATTTGTGTTGTAGCAGAAAGCACATTATACGTGACTGAAATTGCAGGACACACCCCCCCCCCTTCACAGCTTCCTGAGAGCAAATCACTTCTGTCTAGTCACTTACTGTTAATTATTGTTTGTATTCTCAGAGTGCCTAGGAGCCCAGTCATAGCCCGGGACCCTGTTGTGCTAGGCACTGTGCAGACGCAGAACCAAAAAAAAACAGTCCCTGCCCTGAGGAGCTTACAGTCTAGGTATATGACAGGACCAGTAGGTGGATACAGACAAACGGGGGAGAACAAGGAAATTGAGGCAGTATTACTCAGCATGATAGGCAGTCATCTCAGCCCACCAGCGGCCTAACCCGCATAGGTATCGCAGCACAGGAGAGTTTTCAGGAGGGTTTTGAAGAAGGAAAATGTATTAGTTGTGCAGCAGTTCGTTGAGCACCTCGCATGGCTTGGGCAGCCGGGTGAAAATGCAAGAAATGGGCAATGGATACATCAGGGGCCAACTGGGAGGTGAGAGTTGACATCTCACTAGGCTGTGCGAGATGGTAGGTAGGGTGGGGATAGGCATGAAGGGCCTTGAAAGTGAAGTGAAACTGTTTGTTTGATGTGATGGTGAAAAGGGAGCTAGTGGAGGGATGCAAACACTCGGAATTCAAGCACCGACACTCATCTTGGGCACTTAGTGCCAACGTTCTCACTCTGGCTTAAACATTTCCTCCCTGTTGTACCTTAAGTTTTGCCCCGTCCTCTGGGTGACGTAGCTCCGGACCCCTTCCCCACTGGCTTTTCTCTGCTTTGCAGTGTGCGGGTGCAGTGCCGTGGGGACGCTGCCAGGAGGCTGTGACTCAGGCGGGAGATGTTTCTGTAGGCCTGAGTTTGATGGGCCTCGCTGTGATCAGTGCAGCATGGGATATCATTCTTACCCTCGTTGCCAAGGTATGGTGGAAACAGTGGCTCGTGGGGGCTGGGAGGAGATGCAGATGGGATTGAGTGTCAGCAGATGACAAAGAACTAGTGATTTTGAGTGCCTCGGTTTTTGGGTACTCGACTTGAGACCCCTTAGTGGGACCTGACTTACAGGAAGTGCTGAGCTCCCATCCTCTGAAAGTCACGACCCTTTTGAGGTGCTGTAAATTGGGCACCCAGAATCACTAGTCACTTTTAAAATCTTGGCCCAAACCCCCTTGATTTACATTATAAATAGTGCAGATTAGATCTGGACGTCATTAATGATGTCAGCGTTTGGAACACAAAGCTGTCATTGTCAGTCTTTCTTGATGGAACTCCCGTTCTGATGATGTTTTCCAGCATATGTTTTTGTATTTACACATTAACCTCCTGAACTTCTTCCTGTTGGTGAGCTTTGAATGGGCTGTAAAATCTTGGAGACTTTTTTCCTGGTTTGGCCAAGACTTCAGGGAGAAATATCCCGTGGTACTGTGATGTTTTTTTAAAAGGGAATTTAGTTCTTGGGAACAGTCCCGAAGAGATCCCTTGGAACTGAACGACGCGTCCGCACAGATAGCGCTAGTACAAGTTTTAAACTCTTTCCCTGCACCATCTGTCAATCTCCGACTCTGTTCCAAAAGGACCACTTCTGTGGGTGGTCAGCCTCCAGGTCCCACCGTAGATGCTGGCAAACGGGGCCAAATACATGCAAACTGCAGTGAATTTTGTGTGTGTTTGTGAAGTGGGGATTTGTCCACTGAGAACTGTCACTCAGTTCAGCTGGATCACTGAATAGCCATCCAGAGGGAATGCTTTGGGTTGCTACAAATCTGGGCTGGATTGACACAACTAGTGATGCAAAGAGATGAAAAGACTCGGGTCTGATTATTTGTCTCTGTGCTCGCTCGTCCCCCTTCTCAAACTTCTCTTTTTATTCGTGCACCCTTCTTTTGCAGCTTGCTCCTGTGATCCCCGGGGCTCGGTGGATAACAACTGTAGCCCAGCTGGTCAGTGCCGGTGCCATTCTAACTACGCCGGGCACACCTGTAGCCAGTGTGCACCAGGCTTCTATGGGTACCCCAGCTGCACACGTGAGTAACTCCCTTCACATGGAAGATTTTGCTTACGGTCTTGTAGAGTAGGAGCAGTGTGTTCCAGACAGGACTGATACACGCTGCTACTTGCTTTGCATTGCTTTGCCTTTACCTCACCCTGTCCTCTCCTCTCCCCAGGGCCCAGCTTTATACTAGAATTCAGACTGGGTCTTTATTACAGGAGGAGTCCGTTTTTATTACTTACTCTTCTTCCCCTGTTGGAATAAAGACATTATCCCACAAAAGCGTTTTCTCTTGCAGGTTGTGTCAATCGCTAATGCTAATGCAAAGGCCATGGAGTCTGTCCCATAGAGTTCATTGGTAATTGGTAATTACAAGGGCCCAGGTCTGCCCATTCTGGTGTCCCAGCCCCCAGATACATGGAGTGTTTTACAAACAGACCTGCAAAGTACAATTCAGGAGCTGAATTTCCATGGGACATACCAAAATCCAGAATTAGAGCCCTATTCCCCCCCAAAACCGGCGCAGACTGAAGGAGAATGCGCACTGAATTATTCCAGTTTGTTCCGGTGTTTGGCCATCTCTAGTCAAGTAGCTTATTAAAGTAACATGTTTTGAGCTGTGCCGTGCTTTCAGAATGAAACGCCAAACTGTATGTTCAGATTTCACTCAAACCCAAAGTTTTAAGGTGGGATTCGCAAATATATATCACTCCACCTGGGCCAGGTTTCAGGTGCGGAGGGGGGATTTCTGGCCTCAAGTGGAAGCTGTGTAAAGCTCAGAGGTTTTGCATAATTTTGAGGTAAAACCACCATTTCAGCTGAGTTCCCTGAGCAAAACTCCAGGGTGCAAACCCCATCAGAATCAAAACGCAGGGCCATTCTGACAGAGCTAGTCTGATCGTTCTCATGGCTCTAGCGCATCAAAGCTGTTCTTAGCTGCTGACAATGAACGCTGGAAAACCGAGAACCCACCAGTTGAGGGGAAACAGGCCTCCCTGGGGATTGTACTGAACCTCTCGCCAGCTTCAGACAGGCCAGGAAACGGCCGGCTTGTAAAGGGTTTATAAAATGCGATGAAGATCTTCTTTTTAATTGCTCTGAAGGCCCATCTGCAAAATGTTAATACTTGTTTTTATCCCTTAGCCAGAAGGTTCAGTTGCAGCAAGTTTTAAATGCACACCTCCCAGTAACACCCTGCTCTCTGGATTCCCAGCTGTGACATCACTCTGCTAGATCCTCTGCCAGGATCAGAATGCCCCCTGTGGGTACATCTACACTGCGATAAAAGACCCATGGCATGGCCGTGGCTAGCCTGGGTCAGCTGACTCGGGCTTGGGCTGCGGCTGTAAAATTGCAGTGTAGACGGTCAGAGCCTGAACGTCTACCCTGCAATTTTTAACCCTCCTGAGTCAGCTGACCTGGGCTCTGAGGCAGTCCCGTGGGCTTTTTATTGCAGTGTAGATGTACCCAGAAAGTCCAGTGCTGCTGCCTGTACTCACAATGAGCAGCCCCTTACTGTGTGTATCTCACTCTGCTCCGTGACACCAGCCTAAATCCGCAGGAAGTCTGCTGAAACCAGCGGGGCTACAGTCATGGAAAAGGGGTCAGAATTAAATGAGAATCGGGCCTGTTAATTTCACGTAACTCCCCCATCCAACCCTGATTTTCAGTGGAGCTGCTTGCGTGGGGCCCCCTCCAAAGCCAACTGGAGTCTTTCCATTGACTTCAAAGGGCTTTGGATCAAGCGCGTAGGGCGGTGCTACTCATGTGAATCACGCCCCTGCATCAGTGCAGGTGGCTGCAGTGCAGTGTGTATTATTAACAATCCCCGTCATGCCCTGGGCAGAATCTCCCTCTCGGCCCCAGTCAGACTGGAAAGCCAGATGTACACTTGTGCCTCCCAGCAAGAATTTACCGCTCATTAAAAAATGTTCTGTGATACAATTTCCCTGAAGCAACAGAACAGCAGCGTCGCGCCTTTTGCACGCTGCTAAATGTAGAAGCCTGGGTAGCGGCCAGCTGGCTGAGCATTCACAGCAAAAAGTGATGCCGGCACTATGCCTTTGAAGAGGCTGGAGGCTTGGATCAAATTGTGTCTCCCGGGTGCAGCAGCCACTTATTTTTTCATCTAAAGAAATAGGTGAAGTGCAAACGGGATTTAAAAAATAGACGAACCGAGAGAGGGCAGGAAGCCAGAGCTTTAAAATCCTCCATTGTTTTTCCAGTACTAAGAATGTTTTGCTGTTGGAGGAGGCCAGTTAGGTGCCGGACATTTGCACACTTATTAGAAATACATCCACAAGCATGTGAGCAGTGATTGGAAGAGAGAGGGCTGAAACTGTCTGGGACCAGGCTAGTTGAGGGCTGCACGTCTGCTGGGTGACATTTAGGTTGAAAGGGCAGTGAGATTTCGATGTGCGTTAGAGAGAAGCAGGTTGTCCAGGAGTGTAAGAACGGCCGTACTGGGTCAGACCAATGGTCCATCTAGCCCAGGATACTGTCTTCCCACAGTGGCTGGTGGCAGATGCCATTGTCCTGTTTGTCCCCTCTGAAGCAATTGTGAAGTGATCCATCCCCCGTCGTCCAGTCCTAGGTCCTGGCAGGAAGCAGCACAACCATTTCCCAGCTCTTTTCCAGGAGCTTTTGTTCTAAATCGGCAAATATTCTTGCATCCGTGCTACTAGCTCATTACTACACGCTGGCCCATCCCGGTGTGCCATGTTCTTCTGCGGGTGCTATTTGAGAGCTCATGGCCCCAGGCCTTGACAACTGAATGCTGCTCTCAGATATTGGGTGTAATTGGCCCTCACCATGTATGTGATAAACTACATGGCTTTTGTTGTTCTCAGTAGCCTGTGTGCTTTTGGTTTTAATGGTCAAACATAGAATGTGAGAGGCGTGCGTCTGCTGAAGTAAAACATTTGTGGTAATTAAACTTTATACCTCATGTCTGTAGAGGTTTATTAATTGGCTGGTTTGGCTACAGAGAGAGTCAGGCAGAGGGGGTGGCTTAGTGCTCCTGTTTTTCTTCTATGGGCCAGGTTCCCAGCTGGACTACATCTCCCAGGATGCACCATGGTGGCTCAGCAAGGGGGGGGAGACTGGTGAATCATGGGAAATGTAGTCTAGCTGGGGAGCCCAGCCCATAGAGGTGAGACTGGTAGCTTGAGGCAGTCAGAACTACAGTTTCAAGGAGGCACTATGGTGGCATTTCCTGATCCAGTTTTTTTTGGGGGGAGGGGGAGATTTTTTTTATTTTTATTTATTTTTCAGTGGAAATTGGGAAATTTTGACAAATTATTTAAAAAGGAAAAAAATTGGGTAAGAATGTTATTGGGGGAGGAGAGGGGAAGGAACATTTTCTGAGCAGTTCTATGGACAGCATATAAGTCACTTACCGCCTTTGCACTAACAGGGGTCAGTCTGGTTTTGGCAGTATTTCCTCATGCTCTCAGATTACTAGTCCTGAGTTCAGTTCCTGCTGCTGCTGACTCAGTGGGAAGCTGTGTTCTCTTATCCTCACTTTGAGACCTCTAGCTGAAAATGCACCAAGCATGGTGGGGGTCTTTAAAGAACTAAGTTCCTGCTTTGTGTTGTTTAAAACAAATCCTTTTATTTTAATCTGGGCCGTGAGTCACCTTACAGCTCTCAGCCTGACTGCCCACCTTTCCCTGTTCACCTGCAGCTTGCCAGTGCTCCACAGAGGGCTCTCTCCACGGCACATGTGATCAGGAAACTGGACAGTGCAGCTGTCGCCCCAAAGTGGCTGGACTGCGCTGTGACACCTGCATGCCAGGGGCATATGGATTTCCACATTGCGAAGGTAGCATTGTCGTCCTCCTCCTTCTCCTCTTCCTGCATGACTTGGTACAGCACGTTCGTTTAGGGCTTCCCTCTACACCCTTGAACCCAGCTGCACCTACCGGCCAACACTCAAAGCCCTGTTTTTAAAAACACACTAATAAATACACAGACCAGTCATCAACCCAGCGAAAGCTTAAATACAACCGCCCCCCAATCTCCTCCATGAAACGTTTCTCGGAGTGTACACACAGGGTGACTCAAAGCTTTAAGGGGTCTGTTTTAAACCTGCTTCAAGCTGTGCTTTTCCTTGCAGTGGGCTCCTGTAACCCAGCAGGGTTAGCAACTGCAGACCCTTCCCTGTCCCCGGTGAGTACTTCGTGTGCCCCTCAATCTCTTGGGGCTGTTTTGGGTTTCCTTTCCTGCAACCCTCATTTGTTTTTCTTCCCTGGTCTCAGAATTTCCTACTGTGTCGCAGGACCTGCTCCAAGTGCAATGCAGAGAACGGCAGCTTCCCGCTCTGTAGAGCCGGAGACCTCATCTGTCCCCTTAGGACAGGTTCTGTGATGCTGCTCGAGCCCCTGGCATTCTCGCCTAATCCTTGTTTTCATCCCCCCGTTTTTTCAGGGTTCCTGTGCATGTCGGGCATATGTCGAAGGTCCAGCTTGTGACAGGTGCAAACCACTGTACTGGAACCTGACTCCAGATAACCCGTATGGATGCACGAGTAAGGAACTTGCATATAAGAGGAGTCTTTTGGGGGCAGTCTGTTCCTCTAGAGGTTTAAGGGCCAAACCTAGGTCATCTCCATTTGAGTAGAGGTGATTCCCTTTTCTCCATTCCCATCATTTCCACCTTCAGTTATGGCACGAAGCGTTAGCATCCCAAGTGACGGGACTGATTTTGTCCTCCACACTTAGCAGGGGGGACGGGCCAGACCAGGGACCCTTTTCAAAGGAATGGATCCAAGGATTTGTTTTGCCAGCTCCGCCAGGACCAAACTCAGACTTTACACAAATACAGGTTTTACGTGTGTAAAATGGGAATGTGCACGTGCAAACATCAGTGTGCAACATCCAGGGCAAGCGTGAGGCCGGCTGAAAATCCAGCCCTTAGTGAGTCTGTGCTACTTTGGTTAGTTTCCCTCCATCGCAGAAGCCAAGAGCTGGTTTATTTCCTCTCTCCATCCCCTTGGCTTCTATCCTGTGTGGTTTCCTCTGCTGCAAGGAACGTTGGTGTCAATCTGAGAGTTTTGAATAGTCTCTCGATGGCTGGATTGATTTCCTCACTCTCTCGTGCTCTTCTGCTCTCTTCAGGCTGCCAGTGTGATACCAAGGGCACCATCAGTGGAGTTGCAGTGTGTCAGCAAGTAAGATCACGCCCCAAGTTCCCTGTGTAGAATTAGATCCCCGCCCCCCTGCTCCCTTTAGAGTTAGGAAAAGCCCTTCATGTGTGTAATAGCTGGAGCTCTCCATACCTGGCTCCTGCAGAACCACTCTCCTGTCCTGACGCTGTC